TCTCGTACATCCCACCTTTCACTGTGGTTTTCTCTGTTGGAGTGCGTTCACCTCCCCATTGGCAGTGGTTCTGAGACATGTTTTCGATTAGTTGATAGGCTTCGTCGTATGGCTTATCCATAAGTGCACCGCCCGCGGCAGCGTCTATTGTCAATCTGGTATTGTATAAAAGCCCATTATAGAAAGTATGGATTGTCACCCAGTCTTCTAGACCGTGGTGAGGACATGTTCTCATCATATCTTTGAATCGTTCCCATGCTTCGTAAAGAGATTCAGTATCTTTTTGTCGAAATCCGTTGATTTGAGCTCTAAGCATAGCAGTTTTGCTTGGCGAAAAATATCTCGCTAAAAAGACGTTCTTCAACTGTTCCCACGTCATAACGGAGTTGGATGGTAAAGATTGTAACCATGTCCACGCTCTGTCTCTAAGAGATAATGGGAAAAGACGAAGTCTTATCGCGTCTGGAGTTACTCCATTTGCTTTCATTGTGTCTGCGTATTGTACAAACTTCGTTAAATGTTCGTTTGGATCCTCAGTTGCATTTCCTGAGAATTGGTTTTGTTGTACCGCTGACAGCAATGATGGTTTCAGCTCAAAATCGTTTCGAGTAATAGTTGGGGCAGCAATGCTACTTCTAGGCTCCATCTGAGAGGGTGTAGCGTATGCCTTCAGCGGTTTGTTTTGAGGTGCTTCAGCCATCTTTGATTCTTCTTCTAATTTGGGAATGGGAGTGAGAGGATCGGGAATGTTATGTTTGAGTTGGTACTCAATGATTCGACTTCTTAAATCTAAGAAGCGCTCTAGTTCTGCGACTGAAGGTTTTAAGATATCGCCTTGTGGGCGATTACTTGGCATACAATCGACAACACTAGTAAAGGAAAAATGAAATTGTTAACCTAGTCTATACGGTGTAACAGAAGGTTACACTATTGACTAAACGGGTCCCCGACAACGGCGCCAAAAACTTGATCGCGACTTTCTATGTCTAATACAACTTAACTGCAATTGCACAGTCTATCGCGTAGTAATAAAAGATATCGATCCCATAGGGACTCGTAATCAAACTAGTGTTCTCGGGAGTTACTATGTTTAGCTAGGTAGATAATGTTTAAGGGAATAAGATTGTCACTAAAGGGAACTAAAAATGTTACTTAAATTATAATTACGTGAATCGATATGCAGTAATTATGTTCTTCGGGGATTTGACAAGTTGCCGGTATATGAAATATTTTTTAGAGTTTATTTAAGCAGAAAATAGTGATCTGAAGACTCTCGTCTCATGGTGGTTATTGACGCTAATCATAATTCTAAGGGCCAAACGTACGCTTTCGTGTCCCATTCGGGGTTAAAACTATTTTTTGGAAATCTCTAAGTTCTAATTCATTTTAAAGTGCTTTCGTTGTTATTAAAACAAATGACTAGTGTTTACTATCTGGTCTTGCCGCAGCTTTCGCTTGTTGGTTCGTACCTTAATTAATTTCCCACTTTCGTGGCAAAAATACTTTTAAATAAGTTCTCGCTTTCGCGACGAAGTTTATTCAGTAAATAAATTTAAACACTCAGACCATAAACAACTTTTGAAAAAGAAAGTTTTCAACCGGTTATTATCAAATCCTTTCCGAATTATTATTACATATCGATTACTTTGATTTAGCTAGACATGGATTTGGGAAAGGTAAAACATAAATAAAAACAGTAAATAATAATGTGCATCATAATGAAAACGGAAATTACGATTAAAATTTAAAAACCTGTAAATATTCCAATTGACCTTTGGGCAGATCCTCCACAAATGTTGGCAGGATTCTGGTCTTTATGCCAATTGATCGTACAAGGGAAATAGGAATTACAGAAGAAATGAAAGGCAACAAAAAAATAGAAAGAAATAAAACTGAACTTTTGCTCTGGAAATGAAATTAGGCAGCACTTCGTTGTCTGAATGCGGCTCCCTTTCTCAGCTCCCCTCCTTCCCTTTTTATAGAAATAGAATTCTAACGGTTATAACTTGAAGAAGGTGGACTTTGAGGCAGAAATATCAGGGAGTAGTGGTCCACTATTTGGGACTTGGAACTGCCTCTTGCACGTGCATTTGAAGTTGGGTGTTTTTGCCTACATGACGGTCGTCACGGTGTGTGACGGTCGTCATGGAGCTGTGACGGTCGTCACAGCAGCAAAATATGCATTCTGCGTTTTTCATGTTGTTTTCATCCGGTTTTTGTCCATATTTCATCTGTGATTGCTTCTTTTCTTCATATTGCTTTGTTTAGACGTGATTATCAAATACCTGCAAAATATCAGACAAATAACACGGAAATAACCCGAAATCGGATCGAAAATAGTTAAACATCAGTTGAATTATACATCAATATATATATATATATACAATTTCGTGTTATCAATTAATAAACTCAGTCACTCCAAAGCTCTTCGCTGCAAAGTATATAAAAAAACAAATTAAGGTACTAAATATTAATAATTACGACTAGCTTTTGTGAAACCAAACTTATTACTATCAATATCTATGCCGATAATCCTTGATGCACCAGCAGTTTTTGCACCCTCAACAACCTGTCAAGTGTAAATTATGTGACATAATAGAAACTCCAACACCATCCTAAAGCGAAAATCTAGGTACTAGTCTTTTTAGAAACTCACAGCAAGCACAATAGTTCCAAGACGAAAAACGACAACAATTGACCCTGCTTCCACCTTTGCAGTGTTCCAGACAGCTCCAAAGCCTGAAACGTTTGTCAAAATAATAATTGTATCAAAATTCACAATGTTGTCTGCCATACTTAATTAGATAAAGAATAAGACTAAGAAAATCTGAATACAATCTTCATACCGCTTTACAAACTTACCCTCCAAAGGATCAATAGGATCAATGAATTGACTAAAAGTAGAGGTTCCCATGAAATGATAGATAGGCTTTCCATTGACAGAGAAACGAATCTTTCGATCACTCATCATGAGTCCAACTCCAGTGGCAGGACGAGCTTTGCCACAATGATTGGTTTTGCCAGATTTGCAAAACTTGCACTCTCTACATTCGGCTTGGTAACAAGGTATCACATGATCCCCTGGCTTAACTTTCCACAATACTGTATATATGTACCAAAAACACATTATCATACTTTCATAATCTATAAAGCAGTTACAAAATACAGACACAGACACATTGACACTGGTATGTGTATTGGTATTGGTGTCCGATGATTTGTCGAACACCATACAACCAGAAGTGTCGGTAGTATTATACCGACCCAGCAGCCTCGTGACCAAGTATACATGGGAAAAGACCTTCAGGATCCTGCAAAAACAATGCAAATGAATAAGTTATATGAGAGAAACTTGATGCATAAAAATTGTATGTCTAGAAAGAAAGAGATATACCTTGCCGCTCCAAGTGTAAGCATCGGTGTGGCATAGAGTGGTGTAGAGAATTTTGATTCGAACCTCACCAGACTGTGGTGGATCGACTTGAACGTCTTCAATGATCAATGGTTTGTTGGGTTCCCAGACCACCGCGGCTTCAGAAATATATAAATGGAAAAATGCATATGATAAGAGATAAAGAGAGATTATGCATGTGAAATAAAGATGACTCTTCACCAGCAGAAAAAGATAGTAACAAATCACTTTTGTGCAGCAGCGTTCCAACATAAGGCATTTGTGGTGACCACTCTCGATTATGAAGAGTAGAATGAGAAGAATTTTTTGATAAAAACTCATCGAGAAGAATTTGCAAGTAACTATGCTTGTGCATTCCAGATATAGTAGCCATCCATATCTTCGACTTAACAAAATTCTAGAGGAGCTTAATCGAGATGCAATTACTGTCATAAAATTGATTAAGAATTACAACGACGTTTAACTTACTCGGTACCCAACAATAAAATAATCCTTGTGTTCGACAACTCCAATCAACTGGATTGCATTGTAACCAGCTTCTTTTATGTAAGGGAGAGTCTGTGTTAAGTATATAATAAAAGTTGGTTATACAACGGAGATATGTATAAATCGTAATGGTTTAACAAAGGAGTAAAGAAAAACAAAGGAACCTTGTTTGCGAAATCATTGAACGAGGATATTTTTGGCTCAGATCCACTGATTCCAATATGAGCTTCATATATCCGCAATGACTTTGGTACTTTCAGGCTTTTATTTTTCCATTTGTATGCCTCTTCAGGAGGTGGTTCCCAATGAATTGCATAAGCTTGCCTTCCATCTAAATCTGAATGCATAATGTTTGGATAATGCATAATCAATAAAACGCAAACAAATAAAAATTAATCAATCATAAGGTTTACCTGGTTGTACATATGTAGCCCAAGCAGGTACTCGCTCCAGCGGCCCATTTGAAGTGTTAAAGTAAACCCGGTACTTGCTTCCATGAGGAATACCAGGAATATACTTCTTCAACCACGCCTTCCTGCCTTTACGTGTCTCAAGCCAATACTCTATAGGAGATTTCAGTGCACGAATTCTCTCTTTCCATTCGGGATCAACTTTCACATTAAATATGTCGTAGTTCTTGCCATCATCAATTACAACATAAGGGAAAGGTCCATTCTTTGCTGCCAATTCCTTATACCTTGTTTCTGCATCTGGTATGTCTCCTAACTCCTCCATCATCAATTGTAGAAGCAAAATCAATTCTACATCTGAGAAAACAATCGAACCTACACTTTAGATTGTTGTAGGCAATGTTCTTATAAAAAAACACTTACTCTTCTGTTCATTAGTTTTAAATTGCAATTGCGTCTGTAATATAACCGTGCTTGCATGGTCTCTTCAACTGTATTGTAACTGCAAATGCGGCCACATGGACAGAAATAGCCCACATTTTAATTCAATGTAAAGGTTCAATATGAAACCATTTATACTATTCTTACATGCCTAGGCCCTTCTTTATTTAAGAAATTACACATAACTCCCTATTTGTGAGTTCCAACATAGAGTGTAAATGAATGAAGGGTAATAACAATTACATCTTCTACTAAAGAATGAAACTTTCTAAGAGAAGCACAAAAACAAAACACACCCAGATAATCCAAACAGAAATTCTACAAAACGGAAACCAAATTACTTGCCTTTCACGGAGAAACTGAGTAAATGCTTTATGAGAAATGTCACGTTGGACGAGAAACCTAACAGGGTCATAACCCTTTTCACCATCGGAATCAGTATCATTGGTATTAAACGGTTTCTTCTTCCTCTGGCTTTGTCGTTGTTGGGGGTTTTGTTGTGAACCGAAACAAGCGGTTTTTAGAGTGGTTTTTCTGCAGGAAAAGGTAACGGTTTGGTGATGAAGAAATGAAGAAGTGGGTGTGGTTTGAGTTTGATGGAAGAAGAAGATATTGAGCGGAATTGAAAAAGTTATCGTCATTGTTGTTTGAGAATGGCGGATAGGTCCACAACAATCTTAAAATGTTAATATATATATATATATATATATATATATATATATATATATATATATATATATATATATATATATATATATATATATATATATATATATATATATATATATATATATATATATATATATATATATATATATATATATATATATATATATATATATATATATATATTTATTGTTACCAAAATTAATTTTAATTAAAGTTAACTATTTATATAATAAAATAGAACATATTTTACTATTATTTTAGACAAAAATATTAAGCTACATTGTCATGATAATTATAATAATTATTTATTAAATTAATTAATAAAATTGAAAAGGTTGGAAAATAAAAATGAAAGAAAAAAGTGGAAAATCAAAGGAATAAAAAAAATACTAATTATGATTGGCTAAAGTAATTGCGACAGTTCGCTTTAACTGTCGCGAGTGTGGAAAGAGGGTGGTTCTTTAGTAACTGTCGCAATTATTTTATACAACATACCTAAAAAATTTGCGACGGTTGTCTCATACCGTCGTGAGAACTGTCGTAGTCCAGGAATAAGGACGGTTTTTTTATAACTGTCGCAAAAAATCTATGATAGTTGACCCTAACTATCGTGACAACCGTCGCAATCTAGGAATAAGGACAGTTTTGTGATAACTGTCGCAACTCAAGTGTCATAAATCTCCTTTTTTTCTTGTAGTGCTTTAGTATCGGAGTACCTTGCAGGTACACTCGCTCCTCTTCTCCATCACCAGCGAATACAAGAGCTCACGACGTATTGCTGGCTACTGATCCGGAAAGATCAGTGACGCTGTCTGTGGGAATCTTTACTTCCCCGTTCTTTCTCCCATAGAACCTCAAGAACCAAAGCAGTTTTCAACCTTCGTTGATCATGGCCAGCCCACGCAATGACGACAATATCCATAAAACCTCCTTCACTCCATTCACCAATGGCGACAATCACGATCCCAACGTGACCGTTCACGTCGAGCAAGGTGACGCCAGGGACGGGCACACTGCCTCACCCTCTCCCGACGATGTGGCCTACAACGCCGCCCGACGCTTCGACGACCCAGCTGTTTTCCAACCAATTCATGTGCCCGCCAACACCGACCCTACCATGGTGGCTCTATTCACGGCAATTAATCAGACAAACCTGATGATTTTCCGATAGAACGAGCGAATCGAAATGTTGGAGAAAGACCGACAATCACGCTCTCCCCTATGGAGGGAACAACATGAGGTGTCTTGAAGCCCCTCATGAGACAAGTCGGGCGCCATCCGCGACTAGAACGACCATAACCCCGTGAACACCCAGAAGTGTAACCGTTCTCCTCCCCGGAAGGAACGATGTTCCCCAACTCCCAAGAAAAACAGAGATGACGGACATGCTAGAAAGCCGAAGAGCTGCCCGAGGAGCCCTCTGTGCCACAGGAGCCCTCGGTACGACCAGTCCTTCTTGCAATCACCCGTCAGAAGCGACAAGGATGATCCCCACACTCTGATGTCCAGGGAGATCATGGAGACTCCTCTCCCTGTCGGGATGGAAAAACCCCCAATCCTGGCTACCTATGATGGCATCGCTGATCCGGACGATCACATTGAAAGCATCAATATGATGCTCGACTACAGAAACGTCCGGGGAACCATCAAGTGCAGGGTTTTTCCCACGACCTTGAGAAAAGGCACGATGGCATGGTACAAAAGCCTCGAGCCCGAGTCCATCACCTCTTGGAGAGAGCTGAAGAGGCAGATCTCCAGGCACTTCACCGCCTCCCGACGACACCCGAAGACTGAGGCGTCCCTGGAAGCCATTATCCAGGGAAGGAAGGAATCTCTCGGGACTACATAGAGAGATTTAACCGGGAGGCCGTGCAGGTGACTACCTCGAACAACATGAAGAAGTATCTTCTTGAACGAGGACTTCGACCTTGCACCGAGTTTTCCAAGGCCATCGGGATCGAAAGGCCTAACACACTAGACACCCTCTTGTACAGGGACCAATCATACATCCAGTATGAGGAAAAAGAGGATGCCCACTGTGCCCGCGAGTCACAGAATCAGGAGAGCGCCAGGAATATTAGGCATGAAGACTTTGTCGCACCCCGACGAGGCGGCGAGAGAAGAAGAGAATATAAGCCTCGGGATTCCTGAGAACATAGGGGACCAACTGGTTGTTTCACCGAGTACACACTACTTACAACTCCCCACGAGTGCATCTTGACCGAGTGCATAAACTCAGAGTTTCAATAAGGCGGTCTTCATTTCCCAAAGCCAATACCCCATAAGCCCAACGTTGACAAGTCTAAATACTTTCGGTTCCACCGGAGCCATGGACATGTCATGGAAGATTGCGTCCACCTCAAGGATGCAATTGAAATCTTAATCAAGGAGGGGCACCTGAAGCAATACACCAAAAAGAACGAGGATCTTCGACATGAAACTCTTGAGGCGAAGAGGGTCGAGGAGGTGTCGCCTCTGTTCGACGAGGCCAGATTGCAAGTCGCCTTGTGAGTCTCCCGGCTAGAAGACTTTCGCCTCCCTTTCAAAGGTGGCACAACGCTGTCTGCTCGCAGTCCATGAAAGAACTTCCCAACCGTGATGGTCATAATCGGTGGTGGTCCCAGCAAGATCTCAGTAAGCTCGGTCAAAAGGAAATTTGAGGAGCTGATCGACAAGAGCTCGAAGCAGAATGCCACTCCAGAGAGGTTCAAAGGAAAATCGAACCCGATCACCTTCTACCTCGAGAAGCTTCCAGGAAGTGCGCCCAACTCCAACATTCCCCTTCTAATCAGGGCTTATATGGCTAACTTTAACGCCTATCGCATCCTCGTCGACTAAGGAAGCTCGATGGACATTACGTACGCCCACCTCTTTACCACCCTCTAGCTCGACGAGAGCCATCTAACGTTGTATGTCGACTCTGACTTACAGGGTTTCAATGGTACCACCACACGCCCATGGGGGTATGTGGAGCTCCTCGTCACCTTCGGGTCCGAAGAGATTGCGAGACAGATCAAGGTCCGCTTCCTGGTGATAGAGTGTCTCTCCCTGTACCAATGCATTATGGGGAGACCGATCCTAGTCGAGTTGATCATGGTGTCGTCCACAGTGCACCTAAAGATGAAGTACTACACGATCAGGGGTCGAGCAGTCACCCTTCACGGGGACATCGAAGCGTACATAAGATGCTTCGAAGTGGCCATTAAAGGACTTAACTCGATCACACCCAAAAGTGCCGACAAGTCATCTCATGCCGAAGAGCAGAAACCACTCTCGCGCGTCAACGCGGTCGACCTCGACAGTCGCTTCCCCAGCAAGCAGGAGCAGAATGAGGTAGTGGATCACACCCCTCCAGCCGAAGGCAACGGGCAGCTGATAACACGAAATCATATAGATATTTTCATGCATATTTCAACTAAAGTCTAACCATTTTCAATCCGATTTCGGGTTATTTCCGTATATTTGTCTGATGTTTTGCAGGTATTCAACGATCACGTCTAAACAAGGCAACATGAAGAAAAGGAGCAATCTCAGATGAAATATGGACGAAAAAGGAGTGAAAACACAATGAAAAGCGCAGCAGACTGTTTTTGCTGATGTGACGACCGTCACAGATGCATGACGACCGTCACACGGGTGACGACCGTCATGCAGGCAAAAACGCCCCACTCAGATTACACGTCAAAAGAGCAGTTCCAATTCCCATTAAGTGGACCACTACTCCCTAAATTATCTGCCTCAAAGTCCATCATCCTCAGAGATAACCGTTGGGATTCCACTTCTATAAAAAGGGGAGCAGAGGACTTCAGAAAGGGTGCGGCATTCATACCACGAAGTGCTGCCGAATTTAATTTCCAGAGCAAATTTACTTTCCAGTTTTTATTTTGTATTCATTTCCCTTTACATTCCCTCATTTCCATTTCCGCTCTTCTGTAATACCTATTGCACTGTACGATCAAATTTGGAACTAAAGACCAGAATCCTGCCAACATCTGTGGAGGATCTGCCCAAAGGCCAATTGGCATATTTACAGGTTTTCATTTTGATCGACTTCTATTTTATCATAATGCAATCTATTATTTATTATTATTATTTATATTTTGTTTTTCCCAATTCCATGGCTAGCTAAACTTAGGTAATCGATATGTAGTAATAATTCGAATGGGATTTGATAACTCTTGTTTGAAAACTTTCTTTTCACAAAAGTAAACTATGGTCTAAGTGTTTAAAATTGATTCACTGAATAAACTTCGTCGCGAAAGCGAGAACTTACTTAAAAGTAGTTTTGCCACGAAAGTGGGAAATTAATTAAGATACGAACCAACAAGCGAAAGCTGCGGTAAGGTCAGATAGTAAACACTAGGCATTCGTTTTAATAACCGCGAAAACACTTTAAAATGAATTAGAACTTAGAGATTTCCAAAAAATGATTTTAACCCCGAACGGGATACGAAAGTGTACGTTTGGCCCTTAGGATTATGATTAGCGTCAACAACCATCGTGAGACGAGAGTCTTCAAATCTCCATTTTCTGCTTAAATAAACTTTGAAAAGTATTTCATACACCAGTAACTTATCAAATCCCTGAAGAACATAATTACTACGTATCGATTCAATTAATTAAAATCTAAATAGTAATCTTAGTTCCCTCTTTTAGTGACAATCTTATTCCCTTAAAACATATTCTACCTAGCTAAACATAGTAACTCCCGAGAACACTAGTTTGATTACGAGTCCCTGTGGGATCGATATCTTTTATTACTACGCGATAGACTGTGCACTTGCATTTAAGTTGTATTAGACATAGAAAGTCGCGATCAACCAACGAGTCGAGAAACTATTACTACAACGTAATACCCTTCGATCTGAAAAACGCGGTGCGACCTACCAACGAATGATGAACAGAGTCTTCTGGGGCGAGATCGGAGACATGCTCGAGGTCTACATGGACGACATGATCCTAAAATCTTGAT